TTGTTATCTTTCTAAGTAATCCTACCCGATCAAATTCTTTGATTAGGACTGTTAACCGTAGCACGAATGATCAGTTGATGGTTTACGTATTCGATTGTTTATGCAACACGAATGCGATTAAATCATGTCAAAGATCTCGACTTCAAAATGTTATTTAAGTGTTTTGGTTTTGGTTTATATGTGTTCAAAAATAGTGGCTATCACAACTCACTTCCTAGATATATAGTACTTACAAAATTCATTTGTTTATATGACTCAATAACACAATGGATATTAACTTATTCATATGAAATCCATAATAACTGATTCATACGAAACCCACAATAATTTTCATATAATAAAATTATCTACTTAGCATTTACCAAAATTTTCTATGACTTTTAGTACGTAATTACACTATTTTTTAATTCATTTTTCTGTAAAACACAAAAATTTAGAATTGCTAAAATCACTTTTTTCTCTCCAAATTGTTTAAATCACAAGCAGTTGAGAGGGCATACATCAACCATTCTTTATTCACAACATTTGGATATGCTATTGGAAGCAATTGTATATCATACCCATTTTATGGCTCAAAACCAAATTACCTGAGAACCTTTGTATTTGATGAGTTCTTTGGTGCGATCAAAGATAAAGATATCTCCATCATCATCAATGTAATCTATATCTCCTGTGTGAAATCAACCTTCTTCATCAATCATCTTCTCGGTTTCTTCCTTGTTCTTGAAGTAACCTTGCATTACACATTGGCTCCTCACATAAAGCTNACCAGAAGTGTTCTTAGGGAGTGACTGACCTGTGTCTGGATCAATGAACTTCACCTAGAGATTCGGAAGTATAAAACCAACCGAGTTTTGTTTCGCAATTCCTTGTCCTTTCTCAGGATCTCANTGAGTTAACGTAATGAAGCTAATGCTTTGCTAATCCATAAGCCTATTATATCACCAAAAGAAAACATCAATNAAGATATTTAGAAGTGTCCACTCCGGTTTAATCGAAATCACACCAGAAAATCAAAAACCGTAATGAAAGCTAATTCAATAAAAAAAAAAGTTGTCATACCCAAAAAGCTGTAATCAAAACTGAAATCGTACCTAATCTAATTGATGAAACGAAAAGAAGATAAACCTAATCGAACTGAACAAAAATCTATAAACCAAAAACTCAAACAAAAATTATCTTTTCATAAGTTCTTTATTAATAAATATTAAAATGAATTTTGAATAGTTTCTATGTCATTCTATAAATTCAATATATCCTAACCTTTTNAAAAATTATCCAAATTACAAAATAAAATTATAGAATGGAAAAATTTTCAAACCGAAAGAAAAAAAAGAGGTCTTAGTACTTTACCTCTTGGACTTGAACATTAGGAAACTTTATTTCAAAGGCAGTAAGAAGCCCAAGAGCTAAAGAACTTGGGTATTTGTAAAGACTCAGATAGTACAAAACATTTCCTCTACATCTCCTTATCCTCTACATCTTTTTATTGTCTTTTCCTCTCCNTCTTCGTTCTTGTTCCTCTTCTCTTTCTTTTGCTTCTCGTCCTTTTACCTTACTCTTCTCAAACTTTACTAATGCCAATGTCTTCACTATGTTCCCAAACATTTGTAATGATGGCAACAAAGCATACATGGAATTTTCCGTTAACAAATTTGTGCACATATTAGTGTAATTTCTCTCTCTTCTACTCCGGCACAAAAAAGACAACAACTACGTTAGATTGAGGAAGAAGAGTAACACGTGCACAAATTTCGTCGGTNTTTGTAAAATAATAGANAAATATAGTGTTTAGCAGACAATTCAATACTCATGAACCAAACAAAACTTGTCAATGCCTCTACCTAATCATCAACAACNTTAAAAAAATAATAGAGATATGATTGATGATTGAGTCTGAGTTGAACATCAGAGACATGGGTTTTAACACAAATATGTCTATAGCCAAGATTGAGAAAT